CCTTACACAAGTGTATTCAAATCGGTGGAATTCGTACAGTTTCCTTACTGCTTGAGCATTCAGTAAGAATAGGTATCTTGGGTAATTAGTATAAAATGAAGTTTATCTGGGGGTCAAGTTAGACCCAATTTATAATTACGATAATGAGACATATTTTGGATTATTGATGGATACCGATTAAAATCCAACGAATTTATTTATTGTAGTAAACGACGTTTTGAAAACCTACATTTATACACCCTCCCCATTTTTTTTTTTTTTTTTTTTTTTTTTTCAGTTTTTCTTTTATATAACAGTTAATAAAATCACATTTAGGCCTTTTATGTGCATTGAGTTTTCTCTTACGTTAAGTTTGGGTACGTGTAATTTATGTTTGTTAAGAGGATACAGTTTACTCCGTGAGTATGGTAGGGACAAGCCTGTGTGTTATGATGGGGGTCAAGAAATGTGTGATCCATGAAGGTGGGTCAAAAAATGGTGATCCAGAATGTGGGCAAGAAATGTGATCCATGAATGGGGTCAAAAGAATGTAATCCGTGAATGGGCGGGTCAAAGAAAGTGTATCCTATAATGGTGCGATAATGTCTTGATCATATGTTATTTCAACCTTTCACTGAACTCGGCTGTTGGATAATAGGTACATAATAAAGATATTGACTAATAAACTTGAGGAACAATGGGCTTAGTGAAGGGTGGTATGAAGAATGGGAGGCTCGATATCCTCAGTACACTCAAGCCTGTGTGAGTGATTGGTCTCGGGAAATGATGGTCTCCAAAAGGGAAAGGTGGTCACAAAGGGAACGGGGGTCACAGGGAACGGTGATCACATGGAAAAGGTGGTCGCAGGGAACGATGGTCTCAGGGAACGGTGGTCACAGGGGAAAGGTGATCACATGGAACAGTGGTCGCAGGGAACGTTTGGGCTCAGGGAACGGTGGTCACAGGGAAAAGGTGGCCGCAGGGAACGGTGGTCGCAGGGACGGTGGTAGCAGGGAACGGTGGTTGAATGGAACAGTGGTCGTAAGGAACGGTGGTTGCAGGGAAAGGTGTTGCAAAGGAACGGTGGTCGCTTGGAACGGTGGTTGCAGGGGAACGGTGAGTCACAGGGAACGGTGATCGCAGGGAACGGGAGTCGTAGGGGAAAGGTGGGCGCAGGGATCGGTGGTCGCAGGGAACGGTGGCCAGGGAACGGTGGTCTCAAGGAGCGGTGATCCAGGAAACGGTGGAACTTGATCCTAGGTTTCCATAACTCACCAATAAGTCATCTTCTTGTCTTGCAGGATGAACCGCGTATTTCCTTCAAATACTTTTTTTCATTTTCCTTCTTTTTCTTGTAAAGCTGGGTTTCTGTGTCTTGTCTACTGCATTACCAGGGCCCATGAGATGTGCTATTGTAATTTTGTCCTTTCTTTCTGATCATTTATTTGATTCTGTTATGTCATTATGGGCAAAATCGGTCTTATGGAAATCTTTTAGTGCTTCCTTAGCTGCTTTATTGCCATCAGGCAATCTTCCAAAGAATTCTTCAATATAAATTTTGAGAAAGTTTTTCCCGGGGCAATATGACATCACGATAGCCAAAGGTTCATAAATTATTCCATAAAGTTTGGGAACTCCCCAGCACCATAACTTTCAGGAGGCTCTGGCTTTCCCTTTACAGCTCTTCCACATAAATGTCACCGAAGAACTCCTTTACGACGACGGTGGTTGTTGGAACCATCATTTTGTTTTAAGATAGCTTTGGAAGTTTTCTCCACATCCCCCTCTTCCAAGTCTTTTCTTGATATCCAGGCTGCTCCAGGATAATACAGGGGATGACAGTGTCGTGGTGGATCCACCTGTCTTTGTCTCACTGTCTGGGGGGGGAAAAAATTCTCTGCAAATTCAGCACTCTTGTCCTGGAGGAGAGTCACATCCAATTTTGGCTTTTTGGAAAGGGGAGGTGAGAGGTGATGTGGGGGGAGGTCTCTTAAAGTTTGCCCCTGACGTAGCTGGCTGTATCATTTAAAAATATCGAGAGAGTCCTTCATAAGAAGCTGAGTCTCACTGTCAGCTTTGTCCGTCAGCAGTTTAGCGAAGAAATCGTCTTCTCTCCTTCCACTTTTGCCATTGAAGAAACGATTGTTGCCTCAGGAAAAACTCAAGTAGAGATCTCAAGAAACACTGAGCACTTTCCTAAAATAGACGGGTTGACCAAAAATATAGTTAATACACTTGATCACCAACAGTATTTTGCACACGGGACGTTCAATATTACTGATACACGAGAATACCGATAATGTATTCCAAAGACGGGATGACTAATATTGTAGTAGTAGAAGGGATGACCAATAATATAGTTAATACAGAAGATTACCTATAATATATTCCAAAGACGGGATGACTAATATTATAGCTAATAGAAGGGATGTCCAATAATATAGTTAATTTCAGAAAATTACCAATAATATATTCCAAAGACGGGATGACTAATATTATAGTTAATAGAAGGGATGTCCAATAATATAGTTAATACACAAGATTACCTATAATATATTCCAGAGATGGGATGACTAATATTTTAGCTAATAGAAGGGATGACCAATAATATAGTTAATGCACAAGATTACCAATAATATATTTCCAAGACGGGATGACCAATATTATAGTTAATAGAAGGGATGATTAATAATATAATTAACAGAAGGACGATCATATAATATAGCTAGAGTGAGGAAAGTGAGTGGTTCACTATTACGCAAGAGGTCATATGTTATGATGTTGTAATATTTATATGGTAGGTGGGTTATGTTTGTATGGTAGGTGAGTTATGTTTGTATGGTAGGTGAGTTATGTTTGTATGGTAGGTGAGTTATGTTTGTCTGGTAGGTGAGTTATTTATTTATTTATTAATCTGAACATGATACAGTGAAGTACAAAGGAATACAGGTATTGCAGTGCAACATGCCAAAGCCCCTTGTATGCAGAGCATTATGGGCAGGCTTAAAATTAACTAAGATTAACTAAGCAATGATATATTCAGTGGTGAAAGACACGTAAGCAAACACTATGACATATTTATTAGAAAACGTTTCGGTCCTGGGACCTTGATCACTTCTAACTCAAAGAGGGAGAAAGACATTATATATATAAGCGGAGAGTGAGGTGTGAGTGACGCACGTGACCTGAGGAATGTCATGTTGTAATGAGGACGTGTAGACGATGAAATCCCCTGTGGGTTCTGTCCCAAGAAATATGTAGGCGAGACAGGCAGAGATCTTGCAGTCCGCCTGAATTTAGCATTGAAATGCTTAACAGAGCGATATAAGGGACGCTGTGTCCTCCACAAGACTCCACGGGCATTTGTGAACTGGAATGAGGCACAACTCGTTTTTCACCGAACCAGACCCCAGACCCGACGGAGCCTAGAAGCCTCATTAATCGCGTCACATACACTATAGAACGCAACATGGAACTACCCAAAATTTCAAAAAATTGGCATGGTGATCCCCAACCCAACAACACAGGTCACATGAAATTTCATCGTCTACCCCTCCTCATCACAACAGACATTCTAGGTCACGTGGTCAACACACCTACTCTCCGTTATATATATAATGTCTTCTCCCCTGTATGTTAGAAGTGATCAAAGGTCCCCGACCGAAACGGTTTTAATAACATGTCATATTGTTTGCTTACGTGTCCTTTCAAACCAACTTTCTATTTACCAGGTTTTATACATAATTCATGTAAAACATTATTGTAAGCAGATAACAATTTAGCACAAATGATATTACAAAGGACGGTCATAGGTCATTACTGTGTTGCTGGCATTCAGTTTGAATGGAGATTCCGTTAGGTATGTAAAATTTTTAAAATAAAGTTTTGTTGGGTCACGGTTTGACATTTAGAGAACGATAATGAGAAATATTTAAAGAAATACGATTTATTTAATACAATTAATTCTTTTTTATTAGTTTGTGGGTAAGTGACTTTTGGAACAGACTTGAATTTATAAACAGTGTTTCTTTTATATACACAGGTAATGAATTCCAGATTTTAGAGCCTTTTATGTGCATTGAGTTTTTGCATAGCGTTATGTTTGTATGGTAGGTGAGTTATGTTTGTATGGTAGGGGAATTTATGTTTAAACCCCTGAATGGTGGGACCAAAACAAATGTTGTGATCTAAGAATTTGGGGATCAAAGAAATGTGTGATCCATGAATGGTGGGGTCAAAGAAATGTGTGATCCATGAATGGTGGGGTCAAAGAAATGTGTGATCCATGAATGGTGGGGTCAAAGAAATGTGTGATCCATGAATGGCGGGGTCAAAGAAATGTGTGATCCATGAATGGTGGGGTTAAATAGTTAGTTTAATATGTTTATTATACACCCCATATCCATCCTGTGGGCGGTAGTCAAAAGATTACAGAGGTACATAATGGGTCCAGGGACTGGACTCCAAAGTTTTGATAGCTGAGCAAGTTACAGAGGTAATGAACTCACAATTACAAAGGTAATGAACTCACAATTTACAAAGGTAATGAACTCCAGATAAGTCTGGTCACAATCATGACAAGTTACAAAGATATTTACAGATTACATAGGTACGTAATGGGTCCAGGGACTGGGCCCCCAAAGTTTTGATAGCTGAACGAGGTACAAAGGTCATAACTCACAAGTTACAAAGGTAATGAATCCAACAAGAATGGTTACTTACGTTTATACACGGCTACAATCATGAACAAATTATAGAGTAATGAGCAATTCACACTTCCACACCCGGTCACAACTGTAATGAGTTATTGGTGTAAATATTGATTGTTGAGTCACACACACACACACACACACACACACACACACACACACACACACACACACACACACACACACACACACTGGTTATGGGGGATTTCAACCACAGGGAGATTGACTGGGAAAACATGGAGCCACATGGGGGTCCCGAAACATGGAGAGCCAAGATGTTGGATGTGGTGCTGGAAAACCTCATGCACCAACATGTTAAGGACACTGCCAGAGTGAGAGGGGAGGATGAACCAGCAAGATTCGACCTTATGTTCACCCTGGGCAGCCAGACATTGAGGACATCACATATGAGAGTCCCCTAGGAGCTAGTGATCACGTGGTTCTGTGCTTTAAATACATAGTAGAGTTGCAAGTGGAGAGAGTAACAGGAGTTGAATGGGAAAAGCCTAGCTATAAAAGAGGGGACTACATAGGGTTGAAGAACTTCCTGCAGGAGGTTCCGTGGGCCAGAACTGGCAGGAAGGCTAGTAAATGAAATGATGGAATATGTAACAACAAAATGCAAGGAGGCAGTGGAAAGGTTTATTCCCAAGGGCAACAGAAACAATGGGAAGACCAGAACGAGCCCCTGGTTTACCCGACGGTGTAAGGAGGCAAAAACAAAGTGCAATAGAGAATGGAAAAAGTACAGAAGGCAGAGAACACATGAAAATAGGGAGATCAGTCGCAGAGCCAGGAACGAGTATGTACAGGTAAGGAGGGAGGCCCAGCGACAGTATGAAAGTAACATAGCATCGAAAATCAAGACTGACCCGAAACTGTTGTATAGCCACATCAGGAGGAAGACAACAGTCAAAGACCAGGTGATCAGACTGAGGACAGAAGGTGGAGAACTCACAAAAAATGATCAGGAGGTCTGTGAGGAGCTAAACAGGAGATTTAAGGAAGTTTTTACAGTAGAGACAGGAAGGGCTCTGGGAAGACAGCACAGAAGGGAACATCAAGAGGGAATATACCAACAAGTGTTGGATGACATACGAACAACCGAGGAGGAGGTGCAGAAGCTGCTAAGTGACCTTGATACTTCAAAGGCGATGGGACCAGACAACATCTCCCCATGGGTCCTTAGAGAAGGAGCAGAGATGCTGTGCATGCCCCTAACCACAATCTTCAACACATCCCTTGAAACTGGGCAACTTCCTGAGAAATGGAAGACAGCAAATGTAGTCCCCATATTTAAGAAAGGAAACAGAAATGAGGCACTAAACTACAGACCTGTGTCTCTGACATGTATTGTGTGCAAAGTTATGGAGAAGATTATCAGGAGGAGAGTGGTGGAACACCTGGATCTGAACAAGATTATAAATGAAATCCAGCATGGGTTCATGGAAGGCAAATCCTGTGTCACAAACCTTCTGGAGTTTTATGACATGGTAACAGAAGTAAGACACGAGAGAGAAGGGTGGGTTGATTGCGTTTTCCTAGACTGCATGAAGGCCTTTGACACAGTTCCCCACAAGAGATTAGTGCAGAAGCTGGAGGATCAGGCTCATATTACAGGGAGGGCACTGCAATGGATCAGGGAATACTTGACAGGGAGGCAACAACGAGTCATGGTACGTGAAGAGGTATCACAGTGGATGCCTGTGACGAGCGGGGTCCCATAGGGGTCAGTTCTAGGACCAGTGCTATTTTTGATATATGCGAACGACATGATGGAAGGAATAGACTCTGAAGTGTCCCTATTCGCAGATGATGTGAAGCTGATGAGAAGAATTAAATCGGATGAGGATGAGGCAGGACTGCAAAGAGACCTGGACAGGCTGAACATGTGGTCCAGAAACTGGCTTCTCGAATTCAACCCTGCCAAATGCAAAGTCATGAAGATTGGGGAGGGGCAAAGAAGACCGCAGACAGAGTATAGGCTAGGTGGACAAAGACTACAGACCTCACTCAGGGAGAAAGACCTTGGGGTGACCATAACACCGAGCACGTCACCGGAGGCACACATCAACCAAATAACTGCTGCAGCATACAGGAGCCTGGCAAACCTGAGAATAGCGTTCCGATACCTTAATAAGGAATCGTTCAAGACACTGTACACTGTGTATGTTAGGCCCATACTGGAGTATGCAGCACCAGTCTGGAACCCACACCTGGTCAAGCACGTCAAGAAGTTAGAGAAAGTACAAAGGTTTGCAACAAGGCTAGTCCCAGAGCTCAGGGGAATGTCCTACAATGAGAGGTTGAGGGAAATCGGACTGACGACACTGGAGGACAGAAGGGTCAGGGGAGACATGATAACGACATACAAGATACTGCGGGGAATAGACAAGGTGGACAGAGATAGGATGCTCCAGAGAGGGGACACAGAAACAAGGGGTCACAACTGGAAGCTGAAGACTCAGACGAGTCACAGGGACGTTAGGAAGTATTTCTTCAGTCATAGAGTCGTCAGGAAGTGGAATAGCCTAGCAAGTGAAGTAGTGGAGGCAGGAACCATACATAGTTTTAAGAAGAGGTACGACAAATCTCAGGAAGCAGAGAGGGAGAGGACCTAGTAGCGATCAGTGAAGAGGCAGGGCCAGGAGCTGAGTCTCGACCCCTGCAACCACAATTAGGTGAGTACACACACACACACACACACGCACACACAAAATACACAAACACACAAAATATTGAGAGGAATTGACAAGGTGGACAAAGACAGGATGTTCCAGAGACGGACACAGCAACAAGGCGACACAGTTGGAAGTTGAAGACACAGACGAATCACAGGGATGTTAGGAAGTATTTCTTCAGCCACATGCCACATAGTCAGAAGTGGAATAGTTTGGGAAGCGATGTTGTGGAGGCAGGATCTATACATAGCTTTAAGCAGAGGTATGATAAAGCTCACGGTTCAGGGAGAGTGACCTAGTAGCGACCAGTGAAAAGACGGGGCCAGGAGTTTGGACTCGACCCCTGCAACCTCAACTAGGTGAGTACACACACACACACCCACACACACACGAAGAAAGGTTAAGGGAAATCGGCCTGACGACCCTGGAGGACAGGAGGGTCAGGGGAGACATGATAACGACATATAAGATACTGCGCGGAATAGACAAGGTGGACAAAAACGGGATGTTCCAGAGATGGGACACAGAAACAAGAGGTCACAATTGGAAGTTGAAGACTCAGATGAATCAAAGAGATGTTAGGAAGTATTTCTTCAGTCATAGAGTAGTCAGGCCGTGGAACAGCCTAGAAAGTGATGTAGTGGAGGCGGGGAGCAGGGAGAGAGAGGACCTAGTAGCAATCAGTGAAGAGGCGGGGCCAGGAGCTATGAATCGACCCCTGGAACCACAAATAGGTGAGTACATATAGGTGAGTACACACACACACACTCATACACAAACTCATACACACAGACACAAACTCATACACACACACACACACACACAGACACACACACACACACACACACACACACACACACACACACACACACACACACACACACACACACACACACACACAACAATAACAGCAGCAGTAATAATCCGCTGGATTATGAATCCCTAGGCAGTAAGGCTTCTGGTAGCTACGGAGTATACCTGGAGGGTGTTACGGGGGGTCAACGCCCCCCGCTGCCTAGTCCATGACCAGTCCTCGCTGTGGATCATGGCCTGATCAACCAAGCTGTTACTGCTGGTCGCACGCAAACCGTCGTACGAAACCACAGTCCGGCTGTTCAGATACTGACTTTAGGTGTCTGTCCAGCTCCCTCTTGAAGGCAACCAGGGGTCTATTGGCAATCCCCCACATGTAAGCTGGAAGGTGTCAGTCCTCTCATCCCTCCCTCACATAAAGGTAATTTTATCTGCTCCCTGTTTATGACTACAAGATCCCCGTCATAAATTAAAAATTAAAATATAGGAACAGGTAAGAAACGCACAAGTAAGCTAAATTTATGCTGGATATATTAGTGAAGTTTTGTAAGATTTATCTCACATCGTAAAACTTATGACTTTAGTGAACTTGAGACAGAAAGGGGGAAAAAAATCAGAAATCCTGTCAGAGTGCAAAACATTTAAGAGGTTTCCGTTTTACATGTGAGGGAACGGTAGTACCTCTCTGGATGGTTCCTCCCTGGATGGTTTCTCCTTGGATGGTTCCTCCCTGGATGGTTCCTCCCTGGATGGTTCCTCCCTGGATGGTTCCTCCCTGGATGGTACTTCCCTGGATGGTTCCTCTCTGGATGGTTCCTCCCTGGATGGTTTCTCCTTGGATGGTTCCTCCCTGGATGGTTCCTCCCTGGATGGTACTTCCCTGGATGGTACCTCCCTGGATGGTTCCTCTCTGGATGGTTCCTCCCTGGATGGTTTCTCCTTGGATGGTTCCTCCCTGGATGGTTCCTCCCTGGATGGTTCCTCCCTGGATGGTTCCTCCCTGGATGGTACTTCCCTGGATGGTTCCTCTCTGGATGGTTCCTCCCTGGATGGTTTCTCCTTGGATGGTTCCTCCCTGGATGGTTCCTCCCTGGATGGTACTTCCCTGGATGGTACCTACCTGGATGGTTCCTCTCTGGATGGTTCCTCCCTGGATGGTTTCTCCTTGGATGGTTCCTCCCTGGATGGTTCCTCCCTGGATGGTTCCTCCCTGGATGGTTCCTCTCTGGATGGTTCCTCCCTGGATGGTACTTCCCTGGATGGTACCTCCCTGGATGGTTCCTCTCTGGATGGTTCCTCCCTGGATGGTTTCTCCCTGGATGGTTCCTCCCTGGATGGTTCCTCCCTGGATGGTTCCTCCCTGGATGGTACCTTCCTGGATGGTACTTCCCTGGATGGTACCTCCCTGGATGGTTCCTCCCTGGATGGTTCCTCCTTGGATAGTAGCTCCCTGGATGGTACGTCCCTGGATGGTACCTCCCTGGATGGTTCCTCCCTGGATGGTAGCTCCCTGGATGGTTCCTCCCTGGATGGTACCTCCCTGGATGGTTCCTCCCTGGATGGTACCTCCCTGGATGGTACTTCCCTGGATGGTTCCTCCCTGGATGGTTCCTCCCTGGATGGTTCCTCCCTGGATGGTACTTCCCTGGATGGTACTTCCCTGGATGGTTCCTCTCTGGATGGTTCCTCCCTGGATGGTTCCTCCTTGGATGGTTCCTCCCTGGATGGTACTTCCCTGGATGGTTCCTCCCTGGATGGTTCCTCCCTGGATGGTTCCTCCCTGGATGATTCCTCCCTGGATGGTACCTCCCTGGATGGTTCCTCCCTGGA